CTACTCGTAATGGGGATAATAATAAAATTTTTGTGCCAAATTGGATATTCGTAAAGCTTTTGACACGGTGTCTAGAGATTTTCTGCTGGCCAGATTGAAACAGAAAGGTTTTCCTAGACAATTTATTCTATGGATCAAGGCTATCACCAATGTCAACTACTCTATGGTGATAAATGGGGCTTCTGAGGGGTTCTTCCCCTCCTCTACGGGGGTGCGCCAGGGTTGTCCTCTTAGCATGTATCTCTTTAGTATTGTAATGGATGCCTTCTCATACTTAATTGATGAAGGGCATTTTGTTGGGCTTTCCTTTGGTAATCATAATGTCAGTTACCTCCTCTATGCTAATGATTTACTTGTGTTTGGGGTTCCTACGGTCTCCAATTGCAATATTTTTAAGCACCTCCTTAATACTTTTACAGCTTCTTATGGGTTACATGTTAACTTTGATAAGAGTTCCATCATTCTACCCAACAACTCTCATAATGTAGATGATATTTGTAGAGCCCTCTCCCTCCCTATTCCTAGGAAGCAAATTACCTACCTTGGGATCCCCATATCCTTTAAGAGACGTAAAGTTGTTGACTTTCTTCTACTCATAAAAACTATTACCATGAAGCTCTTGGGTTGGAATGCCAACCTCCTCTCTTTTGCTGGACGTATTTAATTCCTCAAATTCACTATTTTTAACTTCATTGCTTATTGGATAAGGGGCTCTATATTTACCTAAATCGATTATTAAGTACTTTAGGAAGCTTCCTTCTAAATTTCTATTTTTTTGGAAATGTTGCTCCCTCAAGGAAATTACATTTGATTGCGTGGGATAAGGTTTGCAAACCTAAGCAGTTGGGAGGTCTGGGGCTGATGCCCATTCCTGCCCTTCAATTTAGTTTTAACTACTCTCTTATCCTCAGAATCTATAATTTCAATTCCCCTTTAGCTTCTTGGCTCCTATTCTGGTGTTTTACCCCTTGGAAATCGGCTCCCTCTTATGCTGCCATCTTATGGAAATCCATATGTACCACTATAGCTTTATCTAAGCCTTGTTTTAACTGCAAAGTCACTATTTCCTCTCTGTTCTCATTTTTTTGGGATTACTGGTGTAATGGGATCAGGCTTCTTGATTTTCCTGCTGTTGCGCCTCTCTCTTAGGCCAATAATTGCAATTTTGGTGTTAATAACTTTATTGCTAGGGGCTGTTGGAACCTCCTTGATTCTCTACTGCTAGATATCTTTGTGTCCATACAAAGGGTCCTAATTCATGAGATAAATGTTGACTGCTTATATTGGGGAACTATGGTTAATGCTAAATTCAGTGATTTTATTAAGTAATTTTATAAGCCTCTTGTTGCTTACAATTGGGCCACCTTATTTGCCATGAGATATTCGGTCTTTGCCTAGCTTGCTATGGTGGGTGGGCTTAAAATGGTTGCATAACTGAATAAATGTAACATCACGGTGGACATAGCTTGCTCCTTGTGCCATAATTATACCGAGAGTGCTGCTCACATATTTTTTGAATGCAACTTTACACATTCCATTCTCTCCTCATTGATCCCATGCATTTCCTCTTTACTTCTTAGACCAAATTTGTTACAGCTTTTTTATTGGGTTTATGACCAGCCAGATTTTTCCACATTGGTTAAAAGGCTCTACTTCCTCGTTATTTTTTCCACTATATATTTTGTTTAGAGAGAAAGGAATGAGAGGAGATTTGTAAGTTCTGCCTCTAGTAGCTCCTCAGTTTGCTTTAAGATTGAGAACGCTATTTTTTCGAAAATTTGTAAATTAAAGAATGGGTTTCAGCTTTTAGATCTCTTATAGAGAGGTGCGGCCTCTCCCTGCTCGGTTATCAGCATTTTGATGTTTCTCATTCTCTTACATTCTAGCCTGGTTGTTTGAAGACTGCTATTGGTGTACTACGGTGATTTTCATGATCTTTGGGGGGTTCCTTCTTTTGTTTTGGTTGTTGTTCGTTTATTTGTTATTGCTGTAGGGGGCAATAATGATCGATTACATTAATTTTATCCCCAGTATGGCTGTTCCCTGCAACTAATGTTTCATTTGATGGCAATTCCCGCAACTGGGGTTTATGTGCTTCTCCGTATTTGCAATTGGGTTTTCCTGAGCCTTGTTTTTATTCTATAATTTTTCTTTACTTTTTGGCATGTGTAATTTTTGGCACCTTTTGGTGATTTTTTTGGTCACCTCAGGGTTTTTTCCCCTCTTTTTGCTCTTTTTAAAAAATTTTTACACATGTAATTAGTTTTTACAATTAATGAATTTGGGATTTAGACCTTAATTTTCAATATATATATAAATTAAGCTCACACATATAATATACCTAAAATTTGAATTCAAGAATTTTTAATTGGTAGTACAAACTTTCAGCACACTGTCTATATCCAGTACTAATCATGAATAGCCTCTCTATAGCCTGTCAGGCTGTCAGCACTGTCTTTTAGTTTGTTCATCTTTGTTTGTATTTGTCCAACTATTTAATGGTAGATAGATTCCAGGCTGGTATATCTCAGCTTTTTTGGATGACTTGATGGGACATTATCCGGAAATTCTGGCAGCTTTTTTTTTTTTTTTAATATTTAAGCTTATTAGATAAAACTCATGCACATATCAGATATATCAATACCTATAAATTGATAGTTAAAACTCTCTTTAACGTGTATAAACCAGTCGAGTTGAGTAGTGTCATTAATCATTATCGAGCTAAGCTTGTTATATTGAGCTCAAACTAGAGCTCGTGCTTGACTCGAGTTCGTTTAATGAGCTCAGACTCATCGTGCTTGACTCGAGTTCGTTTAATGAGCTCAGACTCAACTCGCTGTATAAAAATCTAGCTCGAGCTCTGCTTGATTACTCGAACTCTTTTAAAAAGCTAGAGCTCGAACTTGACTCGTTTATGGAGCTCAAATTTTTGTTATCTTAAAAAATTCATAGATAAAAGGGTATATTAAAATTTTTTAAATATATATTTTGAAATTGAGTGGCTCGACGAGTTAACGAGTCAAAGCGGACTTAGCTTAAACTTGAACTCATTTAGTAAAAGAGCTCGATTATAAGTTTGAGCTCGAACTCGAAAGTCGATAAGCTCGACTCACGAGCATGTTATCAAATCGAGTTTGAGCTCGAACTCGAAAGTCGATAGTCTCTTTTTTTATATATATATGAACTGAGTTATCTTTTTTACTGGCATCTACTATAAATATATGTACCAAAAAATATAAATACATGATCTGTTGGGATAATATTTTCTTAAATTTATTTAAAAAATAATCCTAATTTTATTTGATTTTAAATTTCATTATCTTTCTTTAATTTTTTTATAATTAAATAGTTTTTGTACTATTACGTGCTAGAAAATTTATGACGGTAAAACAAAAGATGTATATATTAGTTTTTGACAAAATTTAGCACTCACAATGCACAAATAAATTTGTAAGAAACATGAAATCTTTTTACTTGAAAAACCCAGAAAGAGAAAAGTTATTGAGCCGATTCAATTGAAAAATCCACTATATAAGAAGAGGAAATGATTATTTAAGAACAAATATATGATTTCTCCTATAGAGTTTAATTTAATACGAGTTTGAAGGGAGGGGGGGGGTGATTTCAGACAATGATCGTCTACGAAGATAGCTGATGGTTGTCAGCAATGATAGCCAGAAAATGCTATAGAGCTCTTTAATTCTTCTAGCTGTTTGATCTCTCTGTTTATATCGGATGATCACTTTTATAGGTTGAGCCATAATCTAAAGCATTCTATCGTACGATCCATATTGATTGTCATGATCATGAAGCTTTTTTTTAGTAATTTAGTGCCTTAATTAAATCATAATTAAGTGATCATGGGCTCGTTGATTTTTTTTCAAAAAAAATCCATGATAATAATTTTAAGAAAATCATATTTTTTTGAAATAGTTGTAAAAATTATACATACCTATAATCTTAGGACCTATTTGAAACAATTTTTATTATTTTCTTTTTAATATTACTATCATATTTTTATTTGACAATTATTTTTTTTATTTCCTCTTCAATCATTTCTAATATAAATGTAAAATCTATTTTTGATAATTCTTTCTTAGTTTTATTTTTTTTTTAATAGACATAATTTTATTTGGTTGTAAATTTCTTGGTGTTTTTATTTTTTTTTCTTTAGAATTAATGATTTGTACAATTATATTTACTAAAATTTGGTAACTATAAAAATGTTTTCCAATTTTTTCAAATAAATTAATTTATAATAATTTTCTAAAAACTATGCTTATTTATACAAATGCCTACAATTTCCCCGAGCTCTTAGGATATGTTTTGGCAATTTTTTTAATTATTTTGATATATTCATATTGCTATCAAATTTCCATGTTTTTGAACAATTTTTTATGTTTGAGCTTGCTATCAAATTTCCATGTTTCATATTACTTTTATGTAAATATTAAAAAAAAAAAATGATTAGGATATAGAGTTATAGAACTTTCTATGTTTATATTTATCTTTTTCATCAACTAAACAATTTGGGCATCCTCACCAATTGATAAGGTCCGTACAATATATAAAAATCAATCAAATTTTATGCTGTTGATCTTGTAATAACTCCAACAATTGTGAAACATCCTAATAAAAATTTTTATAAGAATATCCTTAACCTTTTTTTTAAGCTTAAACCTATCACCACCTAATTTAGGCTTCATTTAAGATAGCTTTTTTATTGCTTTCTAAAGTAGCTTTTATGGCTTTGTTTAGGATGATTTTCTTACCGTTTCTTAAAGCAATTTTCTAATACAAAAAATTTGTTTTTGTACTTAAAAACTGCTTTAAGAAGCAGTATGAAAACCGTCCCAAACAAAACCTTAGTACAAAATTTTTGTACTTAAAAACTGTTTTAGAAAACAATAAGAAAAAATGTCCCAAACGAAACTTTAGTTTAGTTTCAATCCCAACCAAATAAGCCATAAGAACTAATGAAACAAGCAAAAAAAAGGGGAAGCTGAAAACAAAAAAATTTAGAGATTTTCCGAGAATGAAATGTAAACAATTTGCAGAATGTGAGAAATGAAACTCCTGTTGCAAAACACTATACAAATAGGTACAAAGGATGATCACAGAATAACAACAGCAACAAGCAGATCTTTGAATGATTTACCTCCTAAGAAAAGCTGGCTTCTCTCCCCAATCAGTTCTCAGCAGATCATAAGATTGCTCTCCACCGAAACTGCTTGAACGATTATGATACTGTTTTTGACCGACTTGTTGCTCGGACCACAATCTTCCGCTCCTGCTGCCAACATCACTGCCTGGGAACGACATGAAGTTGGCTTCCATCACCAAATCCCCTTCCAGAATGCGCAGAACCTATAACAATCATGTAAAAGATTCAATGTTCCAGAATTGAAAAGCAGGAAATCTAATGAAATGGTTGCCCTTTCCAATTCGAGGGGCAACCTCCTGTATGATGGTTTTCTTATTGCTTAATAAAATAACTTTTTAATAAAATAATTTTAATTTTTTGTACTGAAAAGCTGCTTTAAGAAGTATGAAGAAAGACGTCCCAAACAAAACCTAAAACTAGCAGCAAAAGTTGTCTCGTAGATTGGTCATTACAATTTTTTTGATGCAAGTGAAGAGATCATCCATTACTCGGAGAGTGAGGTTTGAAGGATTGATCATAAACTGAATGCCAATGCCAGGGTTTCATCATCCTGGTGGGTCATATGGATCATGAAATTTTTAATCAATGAATGTAATTGACCTAAACTAACTCTAGAATCTGGTGTCATCAATCGAGGCTTTCTTTGTCAAGGGGGCTTCATTAATCGGAGGTAGAAGTTGATTGAGGTTTTGTTTGAGACGGCTTTTTTGTTGCTTTCTAAAATGACTTTATAGTACCAAAATTTCATAAAAAGCTGTTTCAGAAAACAGCAAAAAAATTATCTCAAACGAAGTCTTGAGCGTCAATTTCAAATTGTTCAAGTTGACAGAGGTCTCATGACTAATTTAAAATCTCGAGCAAAACTAAAAGCTTGAATGCATGCCAAAAAATAGAAATTTTGATCATAATCATAATATAATGGTGTCTAATGTTCTATAGATTTGAAAATATTTTACATGACACTGATGCTTTATGAGCTTGAGTTAAATTTGAATTTGTCGTCCTTACTTATAGCTAGGGCAGGAGATGAAATTTACTCTAAGCACAAAGTGATTAATATTTTTTGGCTACGGGACGAAGATCTTTTGGACATCCGTGAATGAAAGCGGGATGGATGCATTATTATTTTTTGGCAACCATATTCCCTTATCATAGCCTCTGAATGCAGTTTTGGCTTTGGCTGCCTTCTTTTTCTTTGATGGCTGAGCAACTATTTTGGCAGTTAGTAATGCAGCTAATCAGTGAAAATGAAGTATATGATGTAGAGGCAACTGACCCAACTAGTCCAGTGAGACAAGCGAAGCTCAAGGAACTTGCTCGCTAGAGCATGAAATGGTTTGGACTAAGGGGCAACAATGTTATCATTACCAAGGAGGACTTTAAAATTCTCTAAAAAGATGAATAAGATTAAGTAATTTCATGACTCCCCAAGGACTATGGAAACTTGGGGAAGAGGGGAATACTGGAAGAGAATGAATAAAAGATGTCACAAGCAGAACACAAAAGGAAAAAAAAGACTGATGACCAAGGTGACAAACATTAGTTGCTACCAAAAATGAAGGCAATAGCATATATTTTTCCTCCCTTTATACATTTCTAAATCTCAAAAATAAGAGAACATAATTTTAAAAAAGAGAAATTATAATTATAATCTTTTCAAATCTTTTTTTTTTCTTTTTGTTGAATTTATTGGGAAAAATTGATGTTTAACAAAAATAAACAAAAGCCATTAAAAGATTTGAAAAAAAATCCCATTTTCAAATAAAGCTTTTTTCTTGTATTTTTGAAAATTTTCAAATGACAGTTTTTCTCTTTTATTATACCTTCATATGTATTATATACATAGATAATATACAGATATATTGATAGATAACAAGTTAATTTATCCACAATCTTGAATGAAACCATATGCGGAATATTCTCATCCATAAACATTTCCAAAAGCTTCTACCAAAGTAAAACGATATTGAATAGATCTATAGGTTTAAACTTAGTTGTTTACCAAACCAAACAGGAACTTTACCTGAGACATTTTAGGCCTAGCCTGAGGATCTCGCTGAATACACAATGAAGCTGCATGCAACATGCAAACCACTTCATGTTCAGAGTAACGATTAACCAAGCATGGATCTATCAGCTCATCAATTGCAAATTCCTCTAGAAGTGGACGAGCCTGAATAAAGAAAGCGCAAGCCAATTAGAAAAAAAAAAATCATTCCAAGAATAAAATCCTAGTGTCCTGAATAATTCATTCATTATTAGCAGAGAAAAGAGTTTTGAAGAAAAATAAATTAGCCACAACTAAATCACAAATTTCCTCAATTCTGCAAAGAGTTAGCCTTGCCTGGGGATCCTGTTAACTAATTGTTTCATTTTTGGGAATGATGAACGGTACAACCTACCCATTCAGTGAGGCATTGCTCGCCCTTTGGCCTGTTGATGTCCACAGCTTTGCGTCCGGTCACAAGCTCCACTAATACGACCCCAAATGAATAAACATCTGCTTTCTCTGTGATGTGGCCGCTTTGCGCATACTCTGGCGCAAGATACCTGCAATCAACGATGAGGTGTTACATTTACTATTATTATTATTTTTATGAAAGTCACTCCAAGTTGATGATTACCCAAATGTGCCAATTACTCTGGTTTCTACACCAAGATCTCCATTTGGTTGCCATCTAGCTAGACCAAAATCACCAACCTGGAAAATTAACAGTCTGAGCATGAAATTTTTCATGTTATATGTAACGGAGCAACACTAATCATTTGAGCAGTCATTCTGATCGGATTTTCAAATCTCGTGCAAATTTACAAACTAAACTGCATATTAAAAAAAGCCTAGATGCTGTTTGGTTTGATGAAAAAGAAATGCAGTGTAAAATAAATACGGTTTAAAGTAAATGCAGTGTAAATTAAATATTTTGAAATTATTTGGTTGTCTGTAAAGTGAATGTAGTTGAATTGTATTTTCTATTTGGTTGGAAGTACGCAGAGTAAAAAATCAACGGAGGATGGAGAAAAGACCGCGCTTGTTATTGTTTCCTGTGGTGTTGACTGCTTCGGTTTCAAATGGAAAGGGGAATGACTCTGGGTAAACCAATTTTTGAAATGTCTTATACTACACTAACATTTCATCCTCCTAAAACTATGGAATCCGCCCTAAGAATCTAAGGATATCCTAAAAAATAAACTCATCAAAAACAAAAGAAGAAAAGATCAGGATTTGAGTAGCCGCTAAAACCAACCAACGGCAAATTAAATCCTCCATGTCTCCCCTTTGGACCATAAGTCCCTAAAAATCTTGAAATTTCTTGAATTTAAGGGATTTGGCCGAAGAAGCACGCGAAAGAAAGAAAGACAGTTACCATCATAGCGAGTGAGCTCGTATAGTTGCTTCAGTGACTTCCGACCCAACATGAAGGAAACGTCATTGAAGGGGTGAAGTCGAACAACAGCAAGGAGTTGATGAAGCGACTTGAGCAAAACTCTACCTCACGCGAAGAAAAAAAGTCTAACAGCTGCGAGGACAGAGAAGATGAAAAGCTATATGGTCTTAGCTCTCAAGTTGGAGGAAGAAACAATGATGGGTTTCGCAACAATGGAGAAGAAACCACAATGGTTCCTGCGACAATAGAGGAGGAAACGTTGGGGCTTTAAAAGGACTTCTTTCTCTCACTCATGCTCGTGATTTCCTATTTCACTCAATTTGGGCAATTTTACTTTATGCACAAAATGAACTAACGCAGGAAGTTTGGAATACATTAGTATTTTATTTCAATCTACTCCGCATCAAACCAAACACCTAAAAAGTTAAAATCCCAATATTAAATTTACTTCACACTCGCTTTACTTCCAACCAAACATACCTTTAGATATATTTATTAATATGGGTAATTAATTTTCAAAAATAACTTACTAAAAACTGATTCGATAACAAATCATTTCTACTATAAGCTGCCTAAAGTGCTTACTGATGAGTTCATAAGGTGTCTCCAGAAGAAGAAAGACACAATAACATGGACTTCTCCATGTAATTTGTAGGGCATGATTCATTACTAATCAAGGTTGAATTTAATTTAAACTTTGCTTCAGGTGAACAATATTTAAGCACAAAGATTTGAAAGGAAAAATCATTTGAAAAAGAAACTGAAACATCCATTCTCCTCATTCAAAATTGGAAGGTCCATTAAGGATGTAATTGGAAATTGATTCCAAGAGTACGATACCATGGTTAAGAGAAACATTTGCGCACAAAAAAAGGAAAAATCAGTGCAAATTTTTCATGCAAGAACAGCAAGTGGAATGGGGGCCATTATAATGTTAGTTAAAAACCATTGAGTAGTAAAAAGAAAACCATACCAATGGTTCGAAGTCATGAGTGATGAGGATGTTGTTTGGCCTCATGTCTCGGTGGACTATGCAACCCACCCTGCACTCTTCATGTAGATACCTCAATCCTCGTGCCGCGCCAACTGCAATCTTTTGTCTAGCAGCCCATTCTAGTGGTTCCCGGTTACGACCTATAAATAAAATTAATATCATGCAAATGCTGTTACAGCTCTCAGTTGGGATGTCATATTTTAAAGATGCATGGCATCAATAACATGATTTTAAAAGGCTTGAGATTTTCTAGGTACATGTCTACCTATCTTATCAAGTTGATACGCTGTATAAAAAGCAATAGAAATAAAGAAATCCACAAGAAATAATTTAACAATCAATTTGAAAACAAAAAATTGAATAGTCTTTTTCTTCAATTCACAATAAAGGAATTACCATAGAGATGGAAGTCCAACGATCCATTGCAAATATATTCGTAAACTAGCAACCTTCTTCTATCCTCGACACAGAACCCAATCAGCATAATAACATTGCGGTGCTGCGCACAGCTTAGAACTTCAACCTCAGCGCCAAATTCATGATCACCCTGTGAACTAGCCAGTTTATGTTGCTTCACAGCAATCGCCTGTCCATCAGGAAGCACCCCTCTATGAACAGATCCAAAACCACCCTCTGCCAAGAAGTTTGCCTGTGAGAAACCACCAGTAGCAAGTTCGAGTTCGGAGTAAGTGAACCACCTAGGAGGTTTTCCGAACACAGGTGCCTTGTGCTGGCATATTGAACATAAAGGAGGTGGTACAGGTGTTGAATTTCTGGTTACAGTCATAGTTTCTCTCACATCCCCACTAAAGTTCCACTCTGATCTAAAGTTCATAGAACTTATTCCAGCTTGCTGATTAGGCATAGAATATTTCTCCAACAAAATTTTGGCTTTGGATATACGAGAATCATTGAGTCTATGAGAGATGCCTTCAACATGCTTAGAAGATGATCGCTCACCAGATAGAATCCTGGCCATCCATGGCTGTAACTCGAGGGTTGTCGAAGGACACAAACTTTCACCATCAGAATCAGAGCTGGTTACATCCAAATTTTGATTTTCCTTCACTTCCACTCTTTCTGTTTTCTTATGAAAGCCGTTTGTTTCAGAAATAAAAAATGGTGAAGTTCCCGGATCAGAGCTTGATACCGAGGATGTTCCGGCTTCAGTAGCAGTAAATGATGTCTCTACCTCAGGGCTGCTCGAGGGGGTAACTGTTGGACCTTGAATGCATGCTTGAAGACCCTTAATATCCTTCTTAATGTCATTAGCTGATGCATCCAACTCATGAGGCAGAGTACAGAGCTCAGAGGACTCAGCCTCAGCTGATCTTACAAGATTCAATCTAAGAACTTTAGGTTGAGAACGCTTCATGACAACTATGTTAGATTGTAGATCATCTATGCAGTGCTTCTCCTCGTGTTTTAGCTGCCTGAGTCAAATGCATTTGAAAGAATACATAAGTCATAGAGAGAAAAAAAATATCATGAACAAATTGGTATCTATAATAGTTAAATGAGAACATATCCCTTTGCATGTGAACTTCTGTTAAAAATATTACTTGTCCAGAACTACCCAACTGGCATTAGCTCTCTTGGATTCGGCAGCAACAACACCAGAAGGCGAACCAGATACAACCTTTACTTTGACATTAACCTGCAGGAAGGTAGCATAAATAATAGCATTTAAAAAATAACTATGTAGAAATAAGAAAAATGTGAAATTAAAGCACTAACCTTGTTTGGGTCGTAAACATCATGAAGTTGAAGCATCATTTGAGAACATAAATATGTAAGATCAGATTTCTGCTCTAAGGTAGTTCCAGTATGTGATCTCCTGTGACCACTTGCACAGTCCCCAGCAAATCTAGGAAAACCCCACAGTTTCCTGCCTGAAAATGAGAAAGCAAAGAAGTTCGTGGGCGATCAGCAACCAAGGCAAGCTATACAATCAATCAGGCAAAAATGGTTATGAGATAGAATACGTGAATGTGCATATACGTGAATGGTTATGAGATAGAATATGGGTACAAGACAGTAGCCCAACAAAGCTATGTAAGCAAAATGATAAATTGATAATATAAAACAAGTTCCAAGTTCTTTAAGCATGTAAATTGAGGCTTCTTAAAATGATAAGATGGGTACAAAAAAATTCAAAAGAAAGTGAATATTAATACTATAAATCATGGTAAAATCAGCAAAATATCTAAATGAGAAAAATCTTAAGTCCTAAGAAGAAAATTAATTACATTTTTTCTAAAAAAAATAAAGACTTACACACGCTGCTTTAAAAAAATTTATAAATCTTGATTATGTTAATTAAATCATACTTATTATATTAATATCATAATAAATTATTGATTAATTAAATATTAAATCAATGAAATACAAAAAAAGAGATAGGTGGTATTCTTCTCTGCCATTGCATGTCTATTTCTATAATTTCTCTCTTCTCTTTGGTTTTTGTCTACGCTCTTCCTAGAGCCTTGGAGCTGTCTAGGCTTTGCTTTTCCTCGTCGCCATTTCTTCATTTGCTACTTCAGCTTCGTGAGTTACCATCTACAAGTAGGTTGAACTTCTCGTTACTGATTCACCTTCAGGAAAGCTTAAGCGGACTGAAAAAGAAGTCATTGCCACCCCCTTTCTCCTGCGCCCAAAATCCTGTAAATCCGCTAAACTCCTAGAGAAGAAACAGGATTTAAGATTCCGTAGGAAGTTGTCATGTTTGCTGTTTTGGCAGGATTTAAGTTAAAATCCTGCTTAAATTCTGCTCAAATTCTGCCTAAATTCTGCTCAAATCCTGCCTCCAAACAGCCCCTAAGAAAAGCCTTCCTCATAGGTGATTCAGATATACCAGCCCTGTTTTGTAACATATTCCTAGAAATTTAAAATGGTGATTTCTTTCTCTAGTTACCGAGCAGATGAAAGAAAAATCAAAAGCAGCTTCAGTTAATGCCCAAAAAACATTCAAAATGGAAGGAATTAAGAAGCGCCACTAATTAAACAACTGAAGTACAGTTAATAACCAATCCAAAAGTTCTTTTTTTGGGCTGAACGAGCAACCACAGAACAGAAAGTAGGAAGCTTACCACCTGTATAAAAACTGCGCCATCACAGAAAGATAGAAAAAAGAGAAAATTAGGTTACCTGAACTCTGCAGCGGCATCACAACCAGAAGAGTTAAGCAGTCGCCAGGCTGAACAACATGAGTTAATGCCCACACCAGCGCATTCTTTGATATCTCTTTGGAAGCTTTAACAGCTACTACAACCTTCTCAGTTAAATGCGGACCCTTATCAGTCCTTCCTCGCTTATGCTGCAATCCAGTACTCATTCCTTCTATCCTCTGTTTCCAAAGCTTCGACCTTAAAACCTCCAAAGAAAAATTTCAACGCTAAGTTAACAGCGCATGAAGGAAGCAGAAAGGCAACAAAGAAGAGCTTCCTGAAGACAAGCTTTTTCCATCAATAACACCCCAATCCCACCATTGCCATATTTGCACATACGGGAGCAGCTGTTTATATCTCACTGTGCAAGAAAAGTGCAAGAGAAAAGACGCTTTTGACCTAGAAGCATCAACTCTTAAGAAAAAAGTGAAATCGGCTCTGTTTACTTTTTCCTCTTCCGGCTTTCTTTCTCTCCACCTGGAAATAATTTTATATCAATAATTTCCCAGTGACAGCGGAAAGACCCTTCCTGGGTCCTTAAAAGACTATTCTTTGCTGGCGTTTTCGAAAGGCCCTCCTGCTTCGTCTTCTCCGATGCCGATCCTTCTTCAGACCTTTTAAAAAGGACTTTCAAAGCTGCCGATGCGTCTTATCCAACGTAGCCCTCAGTTTTGTATTCCAGAAAGCATCAAAGGCAGCAGAAATTATAAAAAGCACCGAGAATCCCTATTTCCGTAAATATGTCGCCCTTTACCAGAAAACGACAGGCGAAAAAGCCAGATCAGGGCCACCTGCACAGTTACAAACTCCCTAAAGCCTTTATTAACCGGAGGCAGGAAGAAACCCTAATTAAAATTACACAGAAAACTCACTATATCCACTTCGCACTCGGACAAACAGACCCACTCCGTGATACCTTAATATGTTCCTTCATCACTATCAACCCAGCTGGCTTCATTCACAACCGCGAGTAAGGAAAACATTAAGCTTGGATAAGTCACACTGGGACGTTCAAGAAAGTTCGAAGCCAGCCGATAAGTTCCTACGACAATTTACAGACGAAAACCCCAAATCCTCTTCAACAGCAAGAAATGGAGCTCGCTTCTTTCTTCAACAAAAGCTAAGAAGCACAAAAAAGCCGTGCCAGCCACGAAACAGCAGAGCGCCAGTGATCTCAATCGTCAAATACTCCTACAACTAAACAAACAGAGATCTTGAGGAAACAACGAGAAGGAAACCCTAACCCTAATCCTCGGACAAGAGGATTACCTGCCAAACAAGACCAACAGGAGACGCCATTGATTTTAAGAAGCAAAAGGACCGAGCCCAAATCTTCTTTCCTGCAACGCTTAAAGAAAAGTCCCCATCCACCAGCTACTCTTCCTCTTGGGCCCCAAGATATTCTGACCCAATTTTTATAATACTTTTTATTTAACTATTTTAATATTTTGATATAATTTTAAAATAAATATATTTATTATTTTTGAAAATTATCTATAAATTAAAATAATATAATTTATATTAAAGGATTTAGATACATATCATTTTATCCTAAAAATTTTAATATTTCATGTCTAACGCCCATAGAATATTTTATTTGATTTTTTACTTTATGGAATTGATAATTTGTTAAGATTTTTTTTTTTAGCTGAATAAGTTAAATTTATACACATTACATACACAAGCTTGAAATTTAAGACCTATTGATTGATAGTCAAAGCTCTGAATTAGCAGATCAAGGTGAGCTGCATGTTATGAACCTTTAAAAATAGCATAATGAAAATGTAGTTTATAACAAATTGTGAGTATTTAGATGATTGAAAATAAGTTCATGGATTATTTTCACATATTTGGTTGGAAGTAAAAATATATTTAGATTTAAAAAACCAAGGGCGTGATAATAGGGCAAGTGATGAGCAAGGCGACTTGCTTGTTGCGAGCATGTCTCATAATGAAGGTAATGGGTATGGAGATTGCGGTGAGGAAGATGATTGGAAGAGGTGATAAATTTAGTGAATTCACCCTCTGTTTCACCACTACTTTGTATTAATGACATTATATGTTAGGTCATTCTCTTCATAATAAAGTTTATATGATGATATAGGTGGTAGGAATAAAATATATGAGTGAGATATTTAATATTAAAATTGTATACTGGTGATAAGCATAAAATATTAAAGTTTTAAGTGTTATATATATAAATAGCAAGAAATAAGGAGATTTGTACGTAAAACCCTCTTTATGTTATATAAGTATGATAGTATATATGTATAAAATTTATGTATATGAATATTGCAATTTGCAATCATGTGAGGGCTATTAACTCTTTTTTTTTTAACATTTAGGTAAATTAAGGAAGACTCACTGTAAAGATCATTTTGCTCCCAGGTTCGTCCGGACGAAGTTCGATCGTCCGGGACGATCGGTACAGGTTGTGCAGGAAAATAGTTCTGGCTGCATGGTTCGTCTGGACGAAATTCTTACCGAGAGCAAGTCGTTCGGGACGATAATTAATTTCGTCTGGACGAAAATCGTCTAGAGCCCAAGTTGTCCGTGACGATAATTAATTTTCGTCTGGACGAAATTGTCCAGAGCCTAGATCGTCCGGGACGAAGTTGCTATCGTCCGGTACGATCAGTCTTGATATATATGGAAATGAGATATTTTTTGAAAGAAAAGGACGTCCAGGAGAGAGAAAAACAAAGGAAAAGAAAGAAAAGATGATTTTTGAGCGACTCCGATCTGTTTTCGTCAGTTGTGACAGTTAGAGAAGTTGACCGACTCGAGGTAAGGCACATTTCTCCTTTCTCAATTTTCAGAAATGAGATTGTGGGTCTCCGAAAGGGTTCCGCTCGTGTGGTTCGAATGCAAAGGGTACGATCACACTATCCCGTAGGTGTTCTGGATTTTGTTTCCTTTAGCGAATTTCTAGTATTATTTTCTTCTGACAAAGGTTTTACCGCGTAACTTTTGGTATGTCTCTGAGATGATAATTGTGCACGTTTTAGTATTTTCTGGAAGATTTTTACCGGACATTTTGGATTCTACGGTGTTTTAATTGAACTGCAAATTATTAAGATGTTGAAAAATGTTTTGTCAGTACAATGAAAGTCTTATAATGTTGTTGTGAATGTTCTGTGGTAATTTGGTAAATTTCTGGATCTGTGCATTTTGTGTAAATTCCGTATACTGCCGTTATGCCGCTGAATTTTCGTATGATTTCTGAATTTTCTGAAATAAGATGATTTGAATATTTGATGTGTTTGTGCTATCAGAAGGGAGTTATAAGGAGCCGGAATCCTATGTGATTCCGTTATCTGGGTCAGGGAATTCTGAAATCTGAAATGAGATCTGAAATCTGAAAATGTTCCGGAACCTCTAATATATGTTCTGTTCTGGTGCTATAAGCACAACGGGAGACATAAGGGGCCAGAATCCATTGAGATTCTGTTTATGTCAGGGAAGGGATGCATAAGGGGCCAGAATCCATCGAGATTCTGTTTGTGTCAGGGACATCTGAAATCTGATATCTGAATCTGCTCTGTGAATTATTTGATTTCTTATTTCTGTACGATTCTGTCTGCTCTGTGATTTGAAAGCTTTATGATATCTATTCCGAACTCCGATTCGATATGACTTCAATTTTCTGTATCCGTAAGCTAATTTCTGATTGAGCTATTATCTGTTCTGTCTGTTATACGATTTCTGTATGATTGTTCAAATTTTGTACGGATACTTTTCTGATGTGATTTCTGATGAGAGTTTTTGATGATTTTGATTGGTGATTGATGTCTTGCTGAGCTGTTAACTCATCCTTATTTTCTGCGTGGTTTTCAAGTTCTGGGAAAAGGAAGGAGGTCTTGGACTAGACGTTCTGAGTCTGATCTGTGATTAAATACTTGATACTTTTTATTTTTGTACAGTCATGGCTTTTCTGTTATGTTCTATTCTTTTTGTCTGTAAGTCATGTACTGTATCTGTATATGATTATTTAGATGAAAGAAAAAATAGATGAACTGCGCTGTGTTTGGATGTTTATAGTAGCTCTGTGTTTTTCTGTCTGTTTTATATTTGGAAGAAAGTTCTGAAGCAAATTTCAAAGCCAGATCCTGGATTTGTTGGCTCCGTCGCGGCCCAATGCGAGCGGGATCCGTCCCAATCGGGTTGTGTCGTGACACTCACACACACATCACATACACTAGACTTGACCTCAAGACCTCTTAGTTGGTAGCATAAGCTCTCAATCAATTGACCAAATGAGTTGTGTATTAACTCGTATTTCAAAATAATAAAAAATAAGTGCAAAATATTTATATATCAATCATATCATATTTATATAAGTATTGGTTTTTTTTTTTTTTTGTGGGAGGGGGGGTGCTTTGCTTTTTTACTTTATAGAATTGATCATTTGTTAAGATTTTTTTAGCTAAATAAGTTAAATTTATACACATATTACATACACAAGTTTGAAATACAATACCTATTGATTGATAGTCAAAGCTCCTAATTAGTAGATCATGGTTAGCTGCATATTATGAACCTTTAAAAACAGCATAATGAAAATGCTATTTATAACAAATTGTGAGTATTTAAATGATTGAAAATAAGTTCATGGATTATTTCCACATATTTGGTTGGAAGTAAAAATATATTTAAATTTAAAAAACCAAGGGCATGATAATAGGGCAAGTGATGAGCAAGATGAGTTGCTCGTCACGAGCATGTCTCATAATGAAGGTGATGGATTTGGAGATTGCGGTGAGGAAGACGATTGGAAGAGGTGATAAATTTAGTGAATTCACCCTCTGTTTCACCACTATGTATTAATGGCATTATAGGTTAGGTCATTCTCTTCATAATAGATTTTTTGATAATCTCCTCAAAGGCTTTGTTTCTAAAAAGCTTTTTAAAAATGCAGTATGAAAGCTGTTCCAAAAGAAGACTGAGTTTAATTATTCTTACAGTTGAGAAATATCATTATGTGTAATTTTCTTCTCCTACTATTGGTTATCAAAATATCCATTTTTTGCATGCCCACTTAGATATTTGGGATCTTATCTAATTCTTACTCACTTAGAATTATAATATTTTATCATATTTAATTATGATTACTTTATTTTCATATGAGTATACTTACTCAAATGTTGGTAAGAGTTTCTTTATGCATTTAAAAAATTTTGGTATGAAATAAAAAGTTAATTATTTATATTAATCAAAGCCTTATAAATAATAATTAATTAAATTTAAATAACTTCAAATTTATAATTTGTTGCGTTCATCAATAAATCTCTTCCTATCTCTCAATAAAATGGAATCATTAAATAATAAAAATCATCAAAGGAAAGATAATGATTTTTAAGAAGTTCTCAATAATAAGGTATAATTATATTTCCTTTAACTTATATGTCAAACTCTTTTTATTTTATATAGACATTTGATTTTATAAAAAAAAAAATTATGACTTTGTGATTTATGTTGTGCATGTACTCAAGAAGATATAAATTTAATAATTCAAATCTATATGATGACATATTGGAATGCATAGTTTGACCAATGACATGCATGCATGATAGCCTAATATCTATGATTTCTCAAAACAAGACAAACACAAGCAATGTGATTTCTAAAAAAAATTCTACTATAATCTATTATGAATTTGATGACTTGTTTTTAGGGATTCATAATGACTTATAATTTATGGGGAAAAACTTACTTTTTGCACCTTATATAAAATTTCTAATAATTTTTTTTTTTTGGTCTTTTTCAATAAATTAAGACAAATTCATACATTTGTAGGTTTTGAATTCAAGACCTCTTAGTTGGTAGTCAAAATTTCTAACCAACAGATCAAGATGAATTACATTAATAAGATGATTTAGAATCATAATCATTTATTTTTCAAAATTTTCTTAAGAAACATTAATTTATAGAAGGAGATTTTCATTTTTTGAGTCTTCCAAAAATCAAATTGATAGAGCTGAACACATGCGATTTTATAATTGGTTAGATGATAGCAAACATAAGTGGTTGGGTGATAGCTAATGATTTTTTGCTTTTTTTTTTTCTCTTTATCACTCCACTCCATCATTTTGCCTTTTTCAAAATTTGTTTGCTTATATATTTAGCATTTAAACTTTAATAACTGCATAATTTGTGTAACGCCTCTGAATCTAATTTAAAATAAAACATTTATTTTGTCTTTTAAAATAATAATAAGCATAGCTATCTAATTTCTTTAAGCGATAGTATAAATATGAGCATAAATGAATCTATTAATCAAAATACCTATATATATTTGTATTCATACTATAAAAATTACATACAATACTTATGAGTCATACAAATACAACACCCTTCTTTTCACTCATAAGT